CCGATGTGGTGGTATGGTCTGCTCGCAATCAGCGGTATGTCTCAGTTCCATTACCTGCACCTACCCGTGCTGATCCGCTTGTCCTCTAGCCTTCATTACGGCTAGTACGCATTCCGGCTTTCTCTGATGTGACCGTGACTAATTTTCCCTAGTGGTGTGCATCTACACCGAGCACTCGCAGTATGTTCACCTCCCCTGCCGCTGTCGTCCCAGCTCACACCTCCCCAGGCTACCCTGGTGGGCCCTCATCGTCGGGTTGCTGATTGCTATTTTTATTCTGCCCTTCTATGGCGCCATGAGCGCCATTGCCTCGTAAGTACCCGTGTTGTCCTCTCCATGCGCGCGTGTTCACAGCGATGTAGGTTCACGCCGGGTATCTCAAATCTCTTCCAGATGCTCGGCTCTGCCTTGATCCCTGGTCATCGCAGGCCAACATGGTGCGCCGTTCTTCACAGTAATTCTGCCAAAAGTACTGATGCACGCCACCTTCCGCGACATATTCAGTATTTCGAGCTCTACTCCAGTGGCTCGCTTGGTCAGGCCGTCGGTATGCTGTCCGACCTCAAGCTCGGACAATATGTCAAGCGTGAGTGAACCTGACCCATCGCACGCACCTCTACTGACGCGTTTTGACAGTCCCGCCACGCGTGCGTGATGTTGTAGTGTTCGTGTGTTTGAAATGCTGATGGGCTCCTCGCAGACGACCTTCAGTGTGCAGATTGTCGGCACCGTCGTCGGCGCATTGCTCAATTGTGAGTGCATACGGTGCGCTGTGTGCACTGTGCGTTGACCGTTCGCCTCGTAGATGTGATCATGCAGGTCGTCGTCAATAACGAGCGCGCGATCTTGGTGCGTACCACTTCCCTTCGCAGATTTATCAGTACGAAACTGAAGCATCTGGCATTGATCTAGCTGAGCAATGAAGGTACCCGTGTGTGGAGTGGACAGCAGGTGCAGTCGTACAACGCCAATGGTGCGCATATGCGTGTCACGCAGTCCGGCTGCGGTAGTTCCTAATCATGACATAGCGATCCTCTGGGGTGCACTCGGCAAGGAGATCTGTAAGCATCGCCCTACGTCTTGCGACGGCCACCCTGACGTTCCCCGCAGACGGTCCTGGCGGCCCGTATTTCATCGTCCCGCTCTCCATCGTCATTGGACTCGCGGTGCCTGTGATTCCGTGGCTGATCTGGAAGAAGACCGGCTGGCATTGGCTCACACTTTTGAACACCGCCGTGCTCGCCGCGAACATCGGCGATCTTGCTGGTGGCACGAACGGGTACATCAACACCTGGATGACCGTCGGGCTGACGTCCCACTTCTACATCCGCAAGTACCACGCCGGGTGGTTCAGGAAGTACAACGTGCGTCGCTACTTCTTCTGTCGCTTCCTGCTCAGGCTGACGAGGTTTGCTGGCAGTACCTGCTTGGTGCCGCTATCGACGGAGTACGTGATCTGAGCGCGCCGTGTGGGTTGAGGTGCTGACGCCATTATGGGGTGACTTTGCAGGGCGCGCAAATCTTCGTATTCATCTTCTCGTTCGCGCTAGCTGGAGCGGGCGGCAAGAGTGTACCTTTCCCGACGTGAGTGCATTTTCTTCCGCATCTCGCTCCGGATTGATGACAAGCTTTCGTCGCCGCCAGCTGGGCATTGAACCCAGACGGGAACGCAGTACGTTCCTCACTGCTATGCAGAAGGACATGCACTGACGTGGTTTTTTACCCAGGACTACTGCAAGGTCACCGGGTAGTATACGACGTGAACTTTGTTGTACCGCTCACACATGGGCTGTTTGTTGTGCTGCCGTAGATGTAGATTTAATGAAATTGTAATCTTATTTCGACCGTTCAGGACTCATGCGGATACGGAGCGACCGCGCTGGTGTCTGTGCATATGGTTCCTCTGCAACTTACGTTTGTATCATAATATTCCGGTCCCTGTAAACTTAAACTTATCTTTAGCTCGGTTCATCACCCTCCCCGAGCTCCTACCGCCCGGGGCCCTCGAAATTCCCATGGCTGCCGAACGTGCACTGGACAAGGCCCGAGGGGCTTCCCGCTGGGTGCCTCTGCAGCACCGCTTGCGCCACAAGTGGTTCCTAAGCATCAGGACATGTGGAGGTATCTGGGTGCACCACGGTACCAACACATCGGACGAGGCACGACCCGATAAAGAGGAGGGTGCTTATCGAAGGTTATTTCTGGAGATGGGCCGCCAAGTTGTGTAACTCACATCAGAGATCGTGTTCCGTGGGCAATTCCGGCGAGCGTGGCATCAGACTCTCAGTAGAGAAACGTTAGTGAGCTGTGACTGAGGGCAGAACGCAAGACCCCGTGGCCAAGGCAGTGCGGGTCTAGGATCGTGAAAGCCGTTCGAGTATGCGAACTTCATAAACTTGCAAGGTAGATGGTTATAAAGTGGTCTGTGCCGGGGCACAAACTGCGTGCATGCCATGCTAGGCCTAAAAATATCGATTTCATGAAATGCAACATGGAACTGCAGCTCGGTGCACAAGTTACGACACCTAGACATGACAGACAAACAACTGCATTAGCATAATGCAGTCGATGGATAATGATAACATACACATAAGTTCGCGGCACAATAGCCTCGGAGTGAACATCGTCAGTGATTCTAAGTTGTGCAGACTTGATCCCACTCTTCTCTTCAGCAAACGTCACGGTCGTTGATCGTAGTGCATACTTGGTCATGGAGAATCTGACATTTCATTGAGAACATACGAGAAAAGTACAACATGTTTTTCCACTACGGGCCGTCCACGACACGAGACGTCGGCACGATCTAGGGTGGAGAAGTCATTCTCCCTACACGAACGGTTCAAGATCCTCCAGTGGGCATCGAGACACGAAGAAACGATGCGAAGGCCAAAGGATCCCAAATATCAGCCTGTGAGGTGTAACTTTCGATGAGAGCCTGTGCTTCGCGCTCGACGTTGCATTATATTGCACGGCGGTTCCCACGCACGGACCATGCCAGTTGGGAGATATAAGCATGCAAGCGCACTAGGCTTTTCCTTACAGTCACCTCGACTCTGAAGCTGGCGTAGGATTGCGGTCTCCATGCTCTGATACGTTCCACGCTTTGGCTCAGTACATCTGGGTGGTCGAGCATAGCGATCTGATTCTCGGAGTCTTGAGCTGGGCATGCCGTTTGCTTCCGTATTCCACTGGCTGAACGGCTAATCAGCTTTCGGCACATTGTGTATTTGTATTTTACTCATGTTTCCCCGTACTGTCTGTTGTACCAATACACAGAATCATGGGCTTGTAACTTGATTATCAGTCTTGTGGTGAACTGATCTCGAGGTTATTAATATTCTATATGAGTCTGGTACAAGGCTTGAGCTCGATACACATGACTTCTCATGCTTTTTTTTCTGAGACGAGATACTGAGATTGCTCTACACCAAATTATCGTGCGGTCCCGCACTCATGAGAAGTTGATGCTGACACCCATGCAGAGAATGCGCCGCTACTACTAGTTGGCTATCGACGACAGTGCACATGCTCATGGCGACGAACATATCTCCTGTCGTAGTGGACGATGCCGACGTTAAGATGGCGCATCCTGTATTGCCCCATTGCGCGAAGGGAATGGGAATATTCACGACAGAGGGAGCCATCCCAATGGAGATTGTCGAGTGAGAACACACCAGAGACATGCGAGACGCCTGGGAGCAGAAATGAACAATAAAATTAGCTACTCTGCGCAGTCCATTATAAAGGATGTGGTGGACATCGTCGCTCACCTCCGCTCCATCAAGACAACTGCACTATTAAATCCTGCAGATAGTCTAGATCGACCTTATCTCCCGGCCCACAAAGCGGGTCCCACCGTCGTAACTCCACGACTGCCCACTTCCACTTCTGTTAAACAGGCCTGCAAATTCAAAACAGGATGCACAACCAGGAGCGCGTAACGCACCAAATACTTTACCAACTCCTTATCGTTGGGCATGACGGCCTTCCATTCATCATGGGTGTTGCAAAAGATGCGGTAGGAATCTAGTGCGTATGGACCGCTCCCTGGCAGATGTGAAACGGGTGTCGGCGGATAACGCCGTCTTACTATAGATGACAGCTCATCGTCATCGGCCTGCACGCGTACATTCAGATAGCATTTGGAAGGACGAAGGCGGGCGGGTGTCGGCGGATCGCTTAAGTATGCTTGAGAAAGCGCGATGATGCGGTGCGAACGAGACTTGCCCAAGCCTAGGTGCTTTATGACATTTTCCAATGCATCGGGGAACGCTACACGCCGAAAATAATATAATCTCAGTATCTTGTGCAGCCGGCTGTATTACTTCCCCACCTTCCGACATCGCCTGAGGTGTAGGCCACATATCCACGATGCTGAAGAACGCGGGAACAGCGTGCTTTCCCGCAGTCTTATTGAGAAGGGAGACTGCAATAAGCACCTTCCAATGGTCGTGGGCAACATATTCTAACGCATCGTGGCACTGAGTACTAGTAACTGTATGACAGAGGAACAGGTCTAATGCTCACCTTGAATCAAGATGGGCTTCGCCATGTAAAGTTGCTTGTATGCGGACATAAACGCAAGACAAAAGTGGCGAAACCCTGGATTTTGGCGAAGTGCACGATACTCCGTCTTTAAACCTGCCGCAAGCCCACTGGCTGAAGTCGAAATATCTCCCCCGTAATCCGACGTTTCAAAGACATCATATACAGGTGATTTTGAGCGTGCCTGCGAAGCGTCAAGCGCGGTCAAAGAGAAGTAGCTGGATGTCAGTACATTAGAGTCGGGATAAGCGGATGACTCTAGAGAGTTAGAGTCGCTTTCCACGTAGGGCTGCTGCTGCTCGTGTTTAAAATAAGGGGAGAATAATCCGGTGTGGTTCTCAGTCAGCATATGCATGCGTGGTCATGACAGTAACAGGACAAGCTGAGAAAGTAGCTGCTACATGGGAAAGACTCCGCAACGCCTATCAGATTGCTTCTTTCCGCCCCTTAGCTGCGGCCCAGTGGTCTAGTAGTATGATTCGCGCTTCGGGTGCTTTTCGTCCGTCCGTATGGATTCAGTGCGCGAGGCCCCGGGTTCAATTCCCGGCTGGGCCCTTTTTGCTCCTTCTGGGGGTATTCATGCCATTCAATCCGAATCCCGGAACTACTAGTACATACATATATGCCTGACTTGTTCGATCTTGGGATTTTTCAAAGTTCCGGCTGCAGTGGATACTCAAGTTTAATTTACAGTACCGCTGGCCTCCCGCGCGTGCCAGGCGCGTGTATCAGCGATACATCGAACGGATCGTCTCGTCCACTGGCAACTTCATCTCCGGTGTGAATATCGGACGGGCTGGTATTCTGTTCTGGATGTAAGCTGAAATGGTAGCACTGATGCATATGATGTCCACACCATCTCTAGAGGCCTTCGAATTGTCCCCAGATGCGCGTCACTTCAGAGCTTATTGCCATGCGGGCAAATACTGTTCCGTGAGTGATATAGATGTACGGAACGAAAACGACAGTACATTGCGGCACAATATTCATATAGGCCGCTCGCGCGTAGACATGGAAAGGCCAGTTGTCACCGTCGTGACCAGTCCAGTAGACCAGCTGGAGACGCCACGTACCCTGGTGGCCCTGGACTTGGGCCCCCATTAGGAGAGGAGCGTTGTGCAGTTTGCTGTGAGATCGATGGAGGTGGTGGGATCTTGGCGCCATCGCGGCCTACATATGGCGGATATTGAGTATGACGCGCGCTCGCAGGACGAGACAGAGGACGAGTTGGCTTCGCGGATTTGTTCGGCTGAGAACGAGGTGGCATCGCTACGTAGGGTACGTAAGTCTGGAGAAATCAGTGTGGTAGGATGAGGGCGCACTCTTCTGCCGTTCCTTCTCTAGCTTTTTGTGTTCCTTCTCATTGTGCTTGTTGGGCGCCTGGTCCTTGCTTTTGCCCTCATCTTTTCCCTTTTCTTTCGCTTTGTCCTTCCCCTTTTCGCGTTTCGCTCGGACTGTACCATCCGGAACGACCGCAGCTAATTTTGGAGGATGGCGACGCTCGCGCTCCTTCGAGTTCATCCGCGGTTGCAGCTCCGGCATATCAATCTTGCTCAAGTGCACAACTAGACTGGATGGAGGAGCATAAGACCCTGATACAGACGTCTGGTTCTTCACCGGGTCGTCAAGTTTGATGCGGCGAGGCCCCTTCCCCAGGATGCTCCCAAAAGGATGAGTGTCGTATGAGACGTACTGATGCAGCTCCTCATCCTCAGCGACTCCTGGAGTAGCGTCAGAGAGAATCCTGATCGGGAATAGTGACGGCCATACCAGACTTGTGCCGGAGCCGTTTGGATTCCTCCACAACCCGGAGCACCTTCGGCACCTGCACAGGCGACGCAGATCGCACGGTGATGAACAGCATCGCCTCATCCTGTACACAGCAGCATCAGATGCCCACACGCATCCCCAAAGCAGGCGGGTGGACACACTTTCAGCAGCCGCGCCGCGTACTGCGCATATTCGTCGATGCTGCCCTCGTCACCGACCTCCACCTCGTTCGCCTCGCCCTCACCCTGCAGCGCGCGCAGCATGTGCATCTCCGCAATGCGCTCCACGCCTACGCGTGGTGCAGGCCTCGGCGGGAGGGCCGGCGGGGTTGTTGGCGCCGTATCAGGCGGGTTCACGGAGGCACTGCGGGAGCGCGCAGCATGGGCAGCGTTGCCGACGCCCAAGAAGCTCGTGATGGCAGAGGCTGCTGCGGGAAACGAAGCCGCAGAGGATGTAGATGATGCCTCGGCTGGCGGAGGGCGATACGCCTCGTTTGCGTCGTGAAATGTGAGAAGGGCGGTTAGTATTACAATCTCGAGGCCTTTCCGATCCTGGATGTCGAATCTGCAAAAAAGAAAAGTCAACCAAGACGTTCAGGTATGAGGATGTGAATTTGGGAATGAGAAATGAACTCGTTGTTCGACGACTACGACGAAAGTGGAGATATCGACAAAAACAGAATAAATCTAGCTTGCACGAGCAGGACTGACACCTGATCATGGGATTGGTCGTATTTATCATTGAGGAGACAACAGTCTCCGCGGGTTCATGTCATGTTTTTCTGACCGTGGCCGGAACCTCGACGGTATACATAATCACGGAAAATAAATCGACATTCACGAGTGGTAGTAGCAGTGACAGCATATGGTTACCATGAAAACTCGGAGGACGACGTACGCACCGGTTCAGATTGTAGTCAAGTAGTTGTACTGATGTGGTCTTCAGTCGTCCCGCCGATTCTTTCGTGACCGCGACCAGGACAGAGGGGTCGGGCTTGCGGAGGATGAAGCACTCCTCACGCTTCCACTCGAAATCATGCCTGCATTCAGGCTGTCACGCTAAATAAGAACCGGAGACGCGGAGGACGCACTCTTCCCATCGGAAGCTCCACTTGAACGAGAGCGTGCCCGTGTGCTTGAGCTCGACGACGCTGTCGGGGTTGTGCAGCTGCAATGTCTTGTGCTTGCTCGTTGCGCTCGGGGCTGTCGCGGTGATGAGCAGCGACTCAGAGAGGGGATCTGCAGGCACACTGAGCGACAGCTACCCATCAGGATGTGTGGAACGGACCGTAAACATTGACACTGTAGACGCTCCCAGGCACTCTCTGCTTGCGATAGTGCAGTTTGCCTGAAGGGTCGGCGAGATCGACGACGCTTGGGTCCTCTGAATTCGGGCCGATATTGAGGGTAAAGAGATTCTGGTCCAAGCTCATCCTTGTCTAGCTGTTGGAACTCCAGGCGGGCGTGAGAGGTTCGCAGTTCTGGATGTCTATCGCCTGGTATATAAGGAGGTGAGTATGGTGTCGTCGACGAGAAGAGAATGACACCAGGCAGGGGGCTGGGCATGGAGACGCGCATGCTAGCACTGGTACGCAGTACACTTGTCAATCTCATGATCAAGCCGTGGGCGCGGACTTCGCGCGTTTGATGCATGTCGTGCACATGTTTGCGTAACATAAAGGCTGCTCATTTCTATGTACAGGGGTGATGCATATTGTACAGTGGGATCCGGAACTGAAGGGAAACATTGTCCAGCACCAATCACTCGAACTCCTCGGCGTCGACATTTGCCAAACCCCCACCACCTAGGTCGAGGAGCTGCACGCCTTCATCTCCACTGTGGTCGCCCATCTCAACATCCGTGTCCGGAACGACGTCTTCTTCCTTCTCGACCGGCGCGTCGGTGTCCAGGAAGTCAAGACAACCGCGTCCGCATCCCCTCCACCGCATAGGTACGCCGGGCCCACCAAGTGAGCTCACACTCCGCCCCGCGACGACGGATTCCCACGTAAACCGCTCCTCCGCCCACTCCACATACACCGGCACACGCCCAGACGTCGCATTATGGTCCGGAGAGGGGCACACGCTAATCCCCGGATGCGTCTCGACGTCCGACGGGCACACCTCTGCCCGACGCTGAGTCCTACCGCGCTGTGAATGCACGTCCCCCGCAGCGCCGCGGCGCAGTACCTTCGATGGCGACTGCGATGTCGCATCCGGCTCCGCCATGGCCCACGGGATGCATGCGCGCAGCGTCTGGAGCAGTGCGGGCGGGAGGCGGTCCGCCCCCGGGAGCGGGCAGCCATACATCGCCTCGATGTACGTAGTGAGCTCGTGCGCCGGCTGGGCGTCCTGAGAGGCGGGCGCGAGGAGCTGGCGGAGACAGCATTCATTCAGTCCGGGCAAGGTGAAGTGCACCGTCGTCGGCGTTAGATGCCGGGTCTGCGAGCCGACGTCCTGGGTGGACGGCACCATCCAAGGGTTTGGGTACACGGAGAGTTGGTCAAGGCGCATCTGGAGCATCTCTGCGGGGAGCCAACACAGGTTGTTCTGCGCAAGGTTCAGGTTGCGCAGGTTGTTCAGGTGCACAATCTGCGGAGGGATGTTGCTGAGACGATTGCCATCTGTGAGTGCAAATACGGGACATGTCAATATATTTGGTATAATCATCCATACGGCAAACGACAGGGTGAAGAAAGGATCACTTACGCAAGTCTAGAACTGTCAGTCCTCCCAGGAAGAAAAGCTGCGGAGGCAGAGTGCTGATCACATTATTCTCGAGATGGAGTTGTATCTCATTGAGTGGCGGCTCTGCAGTAGTCTTAAGGCCCGCAAACGACGCAGCCTTGCCCAGCGTGAGCGCCCCGCGACCAGAACCGCTTGCAAAGAAAGGAACATCCGACAGGGGCTCGGTAGCAGCACGAGCAAAAACACGCGTAGACGGAACAGAGGCACTGGCCGATTCTGGAGTCGGGAGAACGACTAGTTTGTTGATGTCGGTAATGAAGGGCGGGATGGAGTGCAGAGGGTCCTTGAACGGCCCAGGAGCACTACGGATGGTCAGCCAAAGGATACGAACAAGGGAGATTCACTCGCCCAACGACGATGATCCCATTCCCATCGTCAAACGCTGCCGTGATGCGCTGATCCCATAACTCCCATTCACGTTCCTCCCGAGTGACTACGCGTGAAGGCGCTTCTAACGCGTCTTCCTCGTCAAACAAGGACGATCCTTCCAGGGTGTCCACACTGGTTGCACGAGGCATCGTTCGGCGCGTGCTATCGCCGTCCTCGTCGGGTTCGACTGCGCCAGACCCGAAGGCCCAACTCACGTCGGACACCACACGCGACATCTTCCTCTCCTGACGCGGCGGCTTCCACGACGACTTGGCAGACGCCGCGTATGGGTGCAGAAGCTGTGGTCCCCCGCCTACCGCTCCTAAGCTCTCTACAAAGCGTCTTCGGACCGGTGGGCGACTCGCCTGCGACTTGTTGTGCTCGGTCGAGTCGTCATCGCGTGCCTCGAAGCCACGCTCCGGACTCGCGTTCGATGCCCATCTCAGAGAGCGTCCACCTTTTTCGTAGAGGTGCGGGCGTCTCGTCGCCTTTGTAGATGCAGCGAAGGGGTGTGAAAGACGTGGTGAGGCAGGCGGTGTAGAGATGGGCCCGACGCTTGGGGAAGAGGGCGGTGAAGAGTCAATGGGCCCGAACGATGGAGACGACGGCGGAGACGATGAGGGCGACGAATTCAAAAGAAAAGGATCATCTGAATGGGGCATACTGAGA